GACCTCCGAAGCCAAGCACTCTCTTCCTCGAGTGGTTTTCGGGATCCCTCCTCGAACCCCAGCTCATCGTCTCCTGACCCTCCCTGGCCCCTCTACGCCTGTGGTCACCTTCTCCAGGGTCTCCGCCCCTGAACCCCTCCGGCATATTGGCCCCTCCCATCGCCTTTTCCAGGCGGGTCCTCCTACCCCCCACCTGCCTACCGCCGCTCCGCGCAACATTGCTTTGTCCCACACCCCACTCGCTGTCACCCGCCTTCTCTCCTCCATCAAGTTGCGATGGCCTGTTTTTGCCGGGAACTTAGAAGAACCCAGAAAGAGGTTACTCCCTCCCCAATAAAAAGATCTCATGGGGGGGGCACGATGGCAAAGCCGTTCCCGCCCCCACTGATTCCGTCGCCTGGCACAGTGCAGGTGTTAAGAAGCCTGTTTCCTCAGCGGTACATCAGGGGTCTCTCCTCGAGTGCTGACTACATATGAGGGGATGAGGAGTGGGGAGGTCAGCGGGACATGTGATCCATCGGTGTGCAGGCTGGCCTCTGCCGACAGGGGAAGACCCAGAGAGAAACAGCCAGAGGCCTTCCGCAGATCACACCCCTGGTGGCCCGCTTCCAAGGACAGGGTGACGTGCAGGTGGAAAGACAGTGCTGGGGTCCCAACTAGCTAAACCTCTAATGTCATCTCCCTGCAGTCACACTAGCCCCCATTCCTGGGGCCCGTCAAGGAAGGCCCAGCCTCCAGGCCCCACTCCCCTTCCCCTCTCCCCCATCCTTCTAAAACTTGCTTCCTCATTTCCTTTGGATCCTAGTGTCACCTCCCCGAAGAGCCTTCTCTGACCACTTTACCTAAAATGCCACCTTCCCTCCCCCTGTGGCCCCTTACCCTCCCTGCTTTATTTTTCTTCACAGCACAGCCCTTACCGCCTCTGACGTCACACTATTATCGCTATGTGTTGTTTATTGCCTGACTTCCCCACTGAGGAAGGGGTCTGCTTTTCCCAATGCAACCTGCTATGTGCAATTCTGTCTTCTGCAGAGCTGTGTTCCCAGTGTCTAGAAGATTGCCTGGCACGCGGTGGATGCCCAGTAAATAAATAAATGTGAGATGAATGGATGAAGAATGAATGAGAGGCCTAATAGGGAAGAAGGAAGTCTTCGTGGAAGGG